AAAGTTATTGTAAAATACATGAAAGAATTCATACTGGGGAGAAACCCTATGTATGTAAGCAGTGTGGGAAAGCTTTTAGTACACGAGATTATTGTAAAATACATGAAAGAATTCACACTGGGGAGAAACCCTATGCATGTAAGCACTGTGGGAAAGCTTTCCTGAGGTCAAGTAAATGTCAAAGACATGAAAAAATTCACACTGGAGAGAAACCCTAGAATGTGAAGCAATGTGCTTTTAGCACAGCTGGCAATCGTGAAAGACATGAACATACTCACACAGAGCATTAAATCTATGTAAGCAAGGTAAGAAAGCTTTCAGTATTTGTGGTGCTTGCCAAAGAGAACTTACAGTGGGGAGAAACCCTATGTATGCAAGCAATGTGGGAATCCTTTCAGTATACGTACTGTCAAATGAATGAAAAAGTCTCACTGGGGAGAAACTTATTATACATGTAAGACTAGTTTTATAATCCTGTGGAGATTGCTCATGTAGTGACCTATAGGAATAATTAATACAAGAACTTGATGTCAGTATTTCTCCAGAAAATACAATCCCAGATCTAGATACCCTAATGTGTATACATTATATGTTTTTAGTAAATCACTTAAATGTCCGGATTATGTATCTGCAGTGTTACAGTTGACATAATTAGGTATTTTTATGTCAATGTGTTTGAGCTTAGTAGTCTTTTAATTAAGTATGGTAAATTAAAATATATTTTTTACTTTCAAGTAGAGTTAGCATTTATGTACATTTTCTTTAGTCTTTATAATTGGGAGATAAGGACCTCTAAAAACTTTTGTTAGGATTTTGCCACTATCTTTGTTTTTAAAATTTGGGTGTGTATACTCTTTATTCTGTGTAGCAAGATATGTTTGAATTTGATACCATATTTTATAGTAAGATATATTTTCAGAGACTTGTGAACGTTTTTGACAAAGTTGATTTTTTCACACAACTTAGATTAGCACATTGTTTCTCATATTGTGACAAAATATCTGCTTATATTCTAACATTATATATTTTATCATGTACATGATTTTTCCTTTTTTCATATTAGAGCCAATATTGTCATTTACATAATTTTTTTTGTACCAGGGATTGAACTCGGGACCTTGCACTTGGAAGGCAGGCGACGGCACCACTGAGCTAAATCCCTGGCCCCTGTAAAACTTGGTTTTCTTACCATCACAATTGTACTTTTCTTGTTTATATTGCAATGACTTTTAATTTGGTGGTAATTTTTCCAGCATATGTACCAAAAATAACCCAAACTGCTATGAAATTCTGATTGCCACAGGCCAGCAGGACCCTAACTTCTCTCCAAAAGGGTATCATGAATTAGCCATGACCCACACAGTGTAGGGTCTGAAGCTGGAGAGAGCAGTGGGAGATGAAGAAACCAAGACTATTCTTGGAAGTTGGGACCAGGTGGAACCATAGCTCGTTGGGAGCTAATGGCTGCCTGGAGTCCCATGCACTCTTTATAGTGGAAGGCAAACAGGAAGCAAAGGCAGGCCAAATAGTGCTATGTGGCCTACAAGGCCTAGGTGGAACGTAGCATGATTGTTTTGTGATTGGGGCATGCACAGAAAGGGAACAGGGAAGGATACATAATTAACTGTCTCCTGAGGCTGTGCCAGGGTCTACAATATGAGTCAAACAGATGACTCTCTAGTCTGAGGAGGAGCAAGGGAGTACGGAGGAGGTGAAGGGCCATCTGCAGGCTCAGCCCGCAGCACTCCAAAATTATAAATGATGGTATGATTTAACAGTAACACTTTCAAAGGAATTTTTGTCAGTAGTGGAATAGTTTTGGGGAAAATGATTGCTATTGAATGTAATGAGGAAAATGCCTTTATTTCCTAATATTGTGATGCAATTGTATCTTTGACAATCATATTTTCTGAGACAGGGTCTCACTGTGTAGTCCTGGCTGGCCTCAAACTCAAGGGGATCCTCCTGCCTCAACCTCCCAAGTGCTGGAATTACAGGCATGCACCACCATGCCTGGCCATCATTATTGTTTCTACCTAATAAACTAAAATAATGGCATGAAGCAAAACCTGATTCATGGTGGGGGTTTTTTTTTACTCTGCCATAAAGAAGGATGAGCTTGAGACATTTCTAGCTAAATGGATCCACCTTGAGACCATACTCTTTTAAGTGAAATAAATCAGATACACATGTTTAAATACCATACTGTTTTTCTGGTGTTAGTGTAAATAAGGACCAAAATGTTTAATAGATACTGGGAAATGGGAAGAAAATGTTCAAATGATAAGGGAAATAAAGGAGGATGTAGGAGGAAAGAAAGGACAAGAAAAAAAATAGGAAAAAATACAAAGTTTTTGTAAATGGGGGAAGGGGTTGAAAGGAGGGGAGGGGACTGAGGAAAAAGCAAGATATGTTATGTAGAGGTACAAACTGTCTACAATTAATATTGTGTATATCTAAAATGTACCAATAAAATCTTTAAAACCCAAGAAGAAAAATAAACAGTTGTGTCTTGATTTCATGGGAGGTTCATTCCTCCTCCCTGATCCTCACACTGCTGATCTCTTGCCATTCTTGGAAGCTGCTCCTCTCCATGGCAGGGACAGAAGCAAGCCTGAGAAGAGGGCTTTCCTGAGGACTTCCCCAATCAGGTGCCTTCTGTACTGGAGATCTGTACACCTGAAAGCCAGACGTCACTCAAGTCCCTCCACTGACCTGATCCTTTCCTCTAGTCCAAATGATAGATGCCTGTCTCTTTCCCAGGATCATAGAGGCAGACAGACTTGGCTTTGACTATGTCATCTCTCCACAACCAGAGAAGCAGTATGTCTTTTTGTTCTATACTGGGTCCATCCTGAAGAGGCTGCTCAGGTAAGGCAAGGAACCCTATTCCAAAAGGCAGCTTGTATAGGTTTCTCCTTGGTTAAAGAGCACAGTGTGAAGTGAGAGGGCAGTTGATAGGTCCATAGCTGGCTTCTGCAGATTCTTGGTTACTGAAGCACCAAGGACACATGCCTTATTCTCCCTAAGCAGGGAGCTCTTCTAGCCACCCAGTGAATGTGTGGCCTCTTCCTATTGTGGATTTTTTTGTTTTTTGAGACAAGGTTTATCCATGCAGTTCAAGTTGAACTTGTGGTCTTCCTGCCTCGGGTTGCTGAGGATCACAGGCATCCACCACCATGCCTGGCATGGAATTCTTCCACACTGATATTCACCCTCCTAAATTGTAGGGGGATAATCCAACTATTCTTGTTCAGTGGCTGCCATATTCCAGACCTGTACCACCAAGAGCATTGGCTGTTTTTTGGGTTTTTTGGTATGTTTTGGTTTGGGTTTTTTGGTGGTGTTGGGGAATCAAACCCAGCATTTCACACATACTAGGCACATACTGTTGTGCCACCACTGAGTACATGCCCAGCCTTAGTTATATGAACTAAAAATTACTAAGAGAGATGACATTTTCCTATTTTATAGATGAAGAACTGGATGTCCCAAGTGGTTATGTGACTGAGGCCACATGGCTGGAAATGGAGGATTCAGTTAGGTCTTTCTTCCTGAAAGTCCATGGTGTTTCTACTACATCACTATTGGCATCTGAGACTAACCCATAAGGGACACAGATTCATCAGATTTGGAGTTTGAGGCTGGCGGTGGAGTTGAGGAGCTCATCTTGTTCTGGGAAGGTACAACTTGCTTTACACAACCTTGTCTTTCCTTTGCACTTATCCCCCCCACCCCCGCCCCCCGCTCTACACTGTGGTGGCAACACTGATCTTGCCTGGCAGGGACCCTTCAGCATCTCACCTAAACAGCCCCTGACCCTGTCGCATGCAGGGACTATTTCTTACCCTTTCTTCCCTAATCTGGACCTACAGAAATATGTGGAAGAAGGTAATGTTATCTCCAAGATGACAAGTAAGGATGGGGAGGTGAATCTACAGGTAGCTGGTGTCAAAACCAAGACAAAGTGTAGGAACTGGTGCCTAATTCCAAGATCCACTCTTTATTTTTTGCCTTGTGCTACTCAGCCTCAGTAGCCTCTCAAAGACATAGGGAAGGGCAAGACATAACCTTTATCCTGCAAAGAGGTCAGGAGGCTGCAAACTTTTGGATAGGAGCTGATGCTAAAATCTTAAAGTGGAATTTTCCCCTTATGGAAAAGTCCTGGAAAGCCAGCCAGGGTGCTGTGATTACAGGAGTACATCACCACAGCCTAGACAAAGATAATCTTTACTTGAAGACAACTGATCCTAGATGTTAACAGACATCTACAAAATACTTTCACAGCAATATTTACAGTAGTATTCCATTGCAAAACTGGATATGATCAAGTTGACATACAAAACTGACCATCACAGAAGGGATGCTGACTTATAACATGGGGGGGGCGGTAACCAGGGCTCAAACTCAGGACTTTGTGCTTGCCAGTCAGGCGAGGTATTGTGGGACTCCATAACCTTTGTTCCTTTTCTCCAGCCCCATTGTGATTAAATGTGAGTTAATGGATAAAGATGCTTGTTAGTTTTGGGACACTAGATAAAAATCTGTAGCAGACCTAAAGTCCCAAAGTAAACTACTCAACTCCTCATTTGCCCGGAACTGATGTTCCAGGCACCACAATTTTTAGAACAAGGTGCAAATGTCTGCTGACCATCAATATGTGACAGTCGACCACTAACCTTTGTCCCCTTTTCTTTAATTCTATATGTTAACTTCCTCCTCAACCCCCTATAAAAACAGCCTCGGACTCTGAGCTAGCTGCCTCTCTAAGCTATTTTGCTTTGGGAGTGCCGTCTGGCCAGACTAATAAAAGTCTGTTTTATTTTCCAACTTGTCCGGTGTGTTCCTTGCCGGGTGTTCTTTGCTGTAGTCAGCTCCTCGGAGCGTTTGGTAAGGCTCTTGGTCTTACATTCTGAAGGCACCGCTGGGATTCCTGGGTGTGCTTCACTAGTCAGCTCCTCGGGGCATTTGGTAAGGCTCTTGGTCTTACATTCTGAAGGCACCGCTGGGATTCCTGGGTGTGCTTCACTAGTCAGCTCCTCGGGGCATTTGGTAAGGCCCTCGGTCTTACAGTACCATTGAGCTACATCCCCAGCCCAGGGATGCCGACTTATAAACAGAGCCATTCTGCCAATGATTAGAAAACATAACAAAAACTTTCCCCTGCGGGTAAGACAACTTGCTGTCAGGTAAACTGCAAGTGGGTTCTGCTCATCCCAGTAAGACTGGTCAAGACCTGTGTGAACTGTGACCTGAAAATATGAGCTTAACTTTTATAAACTTTAGCCAAACGTTGCATATGTTTCCTGATTGGGAAGACAAGAAAACGAGAAGAGTTTGCTTTTTTTTTTTTTGGTACTGGGGATCAAACTCAGGACCTTGAACTTGTGAGGCAGGCAGCGACACCACTGAGCTAAATCCCCGGTCCCAGAGTTTGCTTTTTTCAAAAGATGGGCAGTTTGTGTGTCAAAATGTGGTAGAATGACTTGCGGCTTACATGTGACAATAAAACACAAAATGCCACACATCTGGGCTTCTTTTTGGGCCCATCTTTCTTTCATTACTCCTCACATTACCCCAATCACCAGGGAACTAAATATATATATATATATATATATTTTTTTTTTTTTTTTACATGTTTATGCTTTCCTGCCAGCCACCTTCTGGAGAGAACTAAACACTTGCGGTACCATGGACAGAGCTCAGGACCTAACTCAGCCCGAGGAGTGGCAGACACAAACAGGCAGTTGCCGTTCTGCTACTGTATTCTTTCACAGCTGTCCACCCTCACGTTGTAGAGTGTGCTTCTTTTCCTGCTGTTTATTGGCCCAAACTCGCTCTACAGAGCATGTTTCTTTTCCTACCTTGATAAGTGTAAAGCCTTCCTACCATTTGTGCTTTTCCTGACCAGTGCTTTGCTCTGGACAGAAAAATACCTAGAAACCGCCTGTGGGAGATTCCAGCACCCAAAACCCAGTGGTAGAACAGTGCCACGAAAATAAGAAGGTGAAAATTACTTTATAAGTCTTAGATATTTGGTACGTAGTTCACATATCCAGTACCTATTAATTCCTGTCAGCGTTTCTTGTTTGTAGCAGTGGGGATCAAATCCAGGGCCTTGGTGCTGGACAAGCCCTCTAACACTGAGCAACATCCGCAGCCTTTTAAATTTCCTTTTGACACAGGGCGTCGGGTCTCGCAGGAAAACATTCCGCACTACCTCCCTTTTATACATGGGTACCTCGGGTCCGGTTAGGAATTGGTCCCCGGCGGCGCGACAAAGGGCGGCACGTCCCTAGGGTGTCTACGGCGGTCCCGAGCACACGAGTTCTGAAGCCCTCGGTCGAGGGACGTCTGAGTGCGAATTTAAACTAAAGAAGATCAAAAACCCAGCCGCCACGCCACACGCAGCCGGGGGCCACGAAGCCGCGCAGCACGGGCAACCGCAAACCCGGCAGCACGCCGGAAGCGGAAGCGGAAGTGAGGCCAGGCCCGCCCTCTACCCGCGGCTGCCGGCCCCTCCCCCGGGTGCGCAGAAGCGCGGCGTCCGGGCTGCCGGGTGGCCGGAGGGCGGGGCGGCGGGGCTGGCGACGGAGGTGAGGGGCTGGAGGGGCTTCCGGGAAGGGCCCTGCCGGCCGCGCGCCCCGGGGTGCCTCCCTTGCCCCCCACCGTCGCCAGGCGGGCCCCGCGAGCTCGCCGCCGCCTCGCCCATGATCCAGAAGGCTTGGGCCGCGCCGCTGCCCCCGCAGGACGTCGCAGCCACGGTGAACGCGGGGGGGGACGCGGTCGGGCTGCGGGGGGTGGCGTCGGGAGAGCAGCGGGTGCCCGCCCCTCGGGGTCCCGATTGCGGCGCCGGGAGCGGCCGCGGGCGAGCAGTCCCGGCTGAGGGGCCGCCCTGGCCACGCCCCGCCCCGGCGCGGTGCGCCTCTGCCAGTCCTGGCCTGGGCCAGCAGTACGCGTTCTATTCAAGTTCTACTCTTTCCTCTTGTTTGTATCCTGTTATGATTGCCCGCCTCCCTATACCTTGAGTAGCTTTGAGCTAATTTTTAAAAATTAAGTCCACTCTGGAGGACAGAAGGGTTAGTTCATGGGTAGCGAGCGCTCTTAGCCCGTGCTTGTCCCTGGGTTCCATCCCCAGCACCGCAACGTGGTGGAGGAGCATAGGTCCACTCTCAAGGAGGTGGGAGCCACCACCGACAAAATCTTAAGGCCATTCAATTACGTGCTGTTTTGTTTCTGTTTTGCCTCTTAGAGATTAATTTCTATTACTGGTGCACATTTGATATCGGCTCTGTGTTAATGGACCTTGAAAATTACAAAACTGAAAGTTATGAGCTCCACTCAGTAATATTCATTGAGCCAAAAGTATATCCAATCACTGCCGTGAACGTTGAAAAGATAGCTTAGGGGCACGGAGTGAGGGTTAGGGGTGGGTGACCACAGCCTTAAATTTGGTGCAGTGCTTAGGAGAACTGCTCAGAAGCTGTAACTGCAAGTCATTCCCCTAGTCTGACTGTAACAAAGGGCTGCGGGGAGATTAAGCTGTCCCGGGATGGGACATTCAGAGCCCATTGCACTTTATCCTATGGAATTTTGCTCAGAGGAGAACCATGTACAGGCTTCCTGATAGATGACAAGTCATTCATTTATCACTGTTAAACACGTGGTCTCTGTGACCACTCTTGTGCTGACCCTCAGTCTTTACGATAAGGGCACAAGTGCTACTGCAGAAGTCCCAAGGAGGAGAGTTAGGGAGCAATAGAAGAGCTAGTGCAGAGAGACAATACGTCAGTTTTCAGGAGGGGAGGAAGGCAGGGAATCCTCTGCTGTGTCAGAGTTACATTAGAAGGAGGGTGAGCACACAGGCCCAGAAAGCAGGGAGCTGTGTGACAGATGAAGCCCTTACAGCCAGCGGCTTGGACTTTGTCGTGAGAGAAATATGGAGCAACTGAAGGTACCAAATTTTTAGAAATTTTATTTCAGTGAGTAGTAATGACTAATTAATGTGATACTTGTCCTTTCTAATATATTTATCACTACTTATGTTATCTTTTTTAAATTGGTAACTTAAAATTCTGCAAAACATGAAGTTTCTCATTGAAAGGCTTTGCACCAAGATGACTGTGGTTTCAGGCTAGAGTGGAGTAGAGGGGTCCAAGAGATGAGGTGGTAAGGCGGTGGCCATCACCAACCAGGAGAAGATGGGGATCTGAGCCAAGATGAATAAAGGAGGTTGGGGTTTGGGGGGCTATCTAGGGAGTAGAATGAGCAAATGTGGAGAAAACAAGTCAAGGAGGAAGGGCAGGTTTGTGGCTCGGGAAGCTAGGTAGATAAATGGCAGGGCATTTACTGCCAAGGGGCACCTGGAGGAGGAACGGGTTGGGTGCAAGGGAGAGAGTTTTGGAAAACTTTGTGTGAGGTGCAGCATCCAAGCCAGTGGCTGTGTTGGTCTGGAGAGAGGTTGCCTTTGTGCATAGAAGATGGACACTGAAGCTATGGGAGTGTCAGAGGGCTGTGGGAGCAGAGGAAGAAGAGGCGAGACTGTTGAAGAGTCAACTGGGCACAGTGGTGCATGCCTGTACTCCCAGAACTCTGGGAGGCTGAGGCAGGAGGATCACAAGTTCAAGCCTAGCCTGCTGGGCAACCTAGTAACTTAACAAGACTCTATTTCAAAATTAAGAATTTTAAAAGGGCTGAAGATATAACTCAGGGCAAAGACTGGATTTGACCCTCAGTACCACACACGCAAGAAAAAAGTAGCTAATAGTGGTTGGCAGAGCCACATAAGGAGTGTCCTAGATTTTCACTTTAGCTTGAGGGCATAGTAAAGACTTCGTGAACTCTGAGTCCTGGCCAGTAGCTTCAACCCTGTGACTCAGGGTACATTTGTAACTAGTATGAACTTGTTTTATCAGTAAAGTTGGTTTAAATCCTAGCATATAGGGTGAGCTTTCAGGCTGGTGGATGTAGATGGCTCACCCACTGCTACTCTGGGAGTAGACTGGAGGGTAGGATGGTACAGCTGAAGCTAGAGACAGCCAAGGAGGCCCTCAGGATGGAAATGGGAGAATGTAGAAGTAGTCAGCACCCAAACGGAGTTACTTATATCAAAGCCAAACTAATTGGAGCCCGGCAGGCTCACGTGTGTATTTGCCCTATAATCACTTTCACAAGAGATGGTCTAATCACAACTTTGCAAGTATCTTTGCTAACCACAACTTTTCAGTCAAGGTCATTTCTGTGAAAAAAAGTTCTTAGTAACAGCCAGTCAGAAAATGTCAGCCCCTGCAGGGGAGTTTCTGTGATCAGTGTTTTGTTTTAAATCTGCTTACATGGACTTCCTTTTGCTTTTTTAAAAGCCTCCCCTTGCAGTAACTTTCACACATGCCCATCATCTGTATGCCACACATGCTGCAGATTTGCAAATCCCCTGCTCATTCCTGAATAAACTCGCGATTCTTTAGAGAGGCTGCATTTGTTAATAGGGTGATACAAGGAAGACTGAGGGGCCAGTCAGCAGACCATAGTGAGTTTCGTGTGTCTCCTGGATCTCCAGCCTGATGCCAGGGATGTCCCAGTGTGGACTGCAGAACAGCCGAGTGTGTGGAGAACTGGCCACATTTCCACTTTGGACCTGTTGGATTTGAGATGCTTGTAGTCCCTGGAGGGAACACAGAGGTCTTGACAAACTGAGGCTAGAGAAGTGGGTGTGGTCTGGGTGTGGGAGAGGTCCCAGAGGGCTGCTGGCAGAGGAGATAAAAGAAGCAGTGGTGTCTGAGGCACAGGCCAAGGAAAAGGAGACCTGGGAGGGCAGCCAGAAAAGAAGAGAAAAAAGAGAAACCAAAACTGAGACGAGGGGCTGAGTGTGGTGCACAGGCCTGTAATCCCGGCTCTTGGGAGGCCAAGGCAGGGCGATTGCTGCGAGTTTGGAGCCAGCCTGGACTACATAGTGAGACCCTGTGTCCAAAACAAAACAAAACATATGTAAGGACAAGGGCTGGAAAGGAGGCCTGTGGTGTGCAGGGTGTGGCGACCCCTCAGAGCCCCTTTAGTGGAGAAGGTTGAGCTGGACACCACACTGAGGGTCTGAGCGTGACTGGCAAAGAGGAAATGGAGGTGGTACAACATTGGGCTGGAAAAATGGAGGCTTTGGAGATTGTTTCCAGGCAAAGACGACAGGGAAGGGACAGGCCCGGGGCTTGAGGAGGCGACCCACAGATGCTGAAGAACACAGCACTTTGGGAATGTTGCACTTGGCTTGGTTTTACCTGTTGTGTTACAAACCACCTGTGAATACATCAGAGACTAGGGGAATGTAGTTATAAGCTCCAATATTTAGTTATATGACTATAGTAAGTCCTCCCTTAGTCTTTTTTTTCCAGAACTGGGAACAGAACTCAGGACCTTGCACTTGGCAGGCAGGCACGGTGCCACTGAGCTACATCTCCGGCCCCTCCCCTTAGTCTTTTTTTTTTTTTTGGTACCGGGGATCGAACTCGGGTCCTTGTGCTTGCACAGCAGTCAGGGAAACCACTGAACTAAATCCCTGGCCCTCCCTTAATCTTATAATTGTAGTTATAACTTGCTCATTTAATGGAACTTGGGCTGATCTCCTCTGTGAAACAAGTACTACAGATTACAGACATTTCAGTTCCTGATAGTAACTATGTGATGTATTCAATGAGAAACTTTATACTCACCTTACTAAAGTTTTAGGGCTTCAGTGTGTCATTTACTAAAAAAAAAAAAACATAGTGCAAATGCCATTTAGTGACAGAAGAGATCTTTGTATATGGACGTTGCCAAGTATTTCTTTGGAGGTGAGAGCTTTTAAAAATGCTTTTTCAGGCTGGGGATTTAGCTCAGTGGTTCCGCCGCTGCCCCGCAAGCCCCAGGACCCGAGTTGGATCCCCGGTACCAAAAAAAATGCTTTTTCACCCTTGTTTGTGGTTCTACTGAGATATAGGAGACTAGGAAGAAGACACTGTGCTGTCAACAGTAATGCTGGCATGGGGAGCCTCAGATGTGTTTGAGGGAGATAGGTTTAGAATCTGAAGACGTTCTGCCTCCCAGGTGGTGCCTGTGGATAAGCCTGTGTTGTAATAGTGCAAGGGCTGAAGAAAGGCACCAACCCCAGCGGTGGCTCCTGATCTGTAGAAGCCATCTGTGGTTTGCTTAGTTAGATCCCAGTGAAATGGGTCATTGTAGCAGAAGGGGAAAATCTTAAACAAAGAAAGTCTATAATTACACTGAAAGTGGTACTTCTCTTTTACATTGTGCTGTGCTTAAAATGACATTTGATTTGATTTGTCCCTATAAATATCTACAGAACCTATAGCCAAGAGAGCCTGGAAACCAATAGGTTAGCATTAACATTACATTCAATTGATTTCAGTTTTCCAAAGATAAAGAAATGATTGGTACCTTTTTCGAGTCAGAACAAATGCAGAAATGTAGTAAGCAACGTGGACTAGACATGTTGCTTAGTAGGAACAAAATTATTAGCAGTACTCACACCAGAGAGACACACCACTTAGAGTGCACAGTATACCCAACAACATTCCAGCATGGTTCCCAGCTACACTTTTCCCTTCTGTTAGATGTGAAGACAATATGAAGCACCAGCAAATGAGTGAAAGATCCTCATAAAGGAAGTCCCTGGTCCAGGTCTGGAGAAAGCTATTTGGTTTACTGTGTAGAGCTGCTGACACAATGTTCTCTTACCCTTCAGTTACATCCGGTGATAAAGGCTTTCCTGTGTGGCTCCATCAGTGGGACCTGTTCCACCTTACTTTTCCAGCCTCTGGATCTCCTTAAAACACGCCTGCAGACTCACCAGCCCTCAGACCATGGGTAAGGCCTGCCACCTGCATTTCATTGAGAAGCTGGGTTCAGTAACTTCTTAGATTACTGGAACATCTTTACCAGTTAAGCAGCTTTCATTCTGGTGGATGCTCAGTCAGAAAAACAGACATACCCAACTTCCATGTGTTTTCTTTTCTTTTTTTTTTTTCTACAAAAATGGTGATGGCCTGCTTCAGCCTCCGGTTCTTTCGCTTGCGGGCCTCGGACACCTTCTCCGCAGCCTGATTCTCAGCCTGCAGCAGCTACTGCATTCCCTGCGACTTGCTGGCCATGGCTGCTGCAGCTCACAGGGCCAAGTGAGTGGCCTAAAACCAGGGGACCACACCTCGGATCAGCTGACCCATCACCTACTTCCATGTGTTTTCTATGTACTTTTTCCTATGAATATATTTTTATATGTGATGATTTCTTTAATTAAATGGGATCTTTTGCTAACCAGTTCTATAGGATCTACCTTGATGACATTTGCATTTTATTGTGCTAGCTTGTGATAACTGTACAGGTATTCCTTGTTTAATGACAGAGCCATGTTACCATGATTAGGTCATTAAATAAATTGGTCGGTAAATGAGGAATTGTATATAGTATGTACATTACAGTATTGTACTGTCTGGGAATGGGTGGCTTTCTGGAAGTAATGTCAGTTTTGAGTGTCTTATTTTGTCCACCTGTGTGGAGTCTAATAATACGAGAAGTACATAAAGTGTATATAAAATGGGAGGTTATCCCATGGGTTACAGTGTAAACGGACAGTTAGAAATGTACACATAGCAAGTCAAGAATAATTCTAGAATGCATTGAAGAAATTCCTAAATGTTTTAGAAAACCCTATATAAAAACCACGTATGGTAGAACACAACTATAATCCCAGCTTCTTTCGAGTCTAGGACAACAGAACCACAAGTTCAAAGCCAGCCTGAGCAACTTAATGAGATCCAGTTTCAAAATAAGATAAAGGGCTGAGGTTATAGCTCAACATCAGGCCCTGGGTTCAATCTCTACTAGCAAAAAAAGGAAAAGAAATGAGCAGAGTGAATAAATAGAAGTCTTGGAGGTGGAAGTGGCCTAAGTCATGTTTCCTTCTTGTCTGTCTTATCTGCCTTCAGGTCCAGACGCGTTGGGATGTTGACTGTACTCTTGAAGGTGGTGCGCACAGAGAGTCTTTTGGGCCTTTGGAAAGGGATGTCCCCTGTAAGCTGCCTTCTGGGTCTGGGTTGTATTGTAGCAGCCATCTCCCATCCCATTTCCCAACTCCTAGGATATACAAGAGTCAGAAGTGGTCAGAGTACAGTAGTCCCCCATCTGTGATTTCATGTTCTGTGGTGTCCACCTGCAGCCCACCTCAGTTTGAAAATATTAAATGGGGATCCCGGAAATAAACAGTTCATAAATTTTAAAAGATGCAGTGTTCTGAGTAGTTTGATGAAATCTCAGGCTGTCCTCCTTGGTCCATCCAGTCCAAGAGGTGAGTTGAGTCATCCCTTTGTCTAGCACATCTGCTCTGTGTATGCCACCTGCCCATTAGTAACTTCATAGCCGTCACAGTAATCTGGCTGACTATTTGGGAATCATAGTGCTTGTTTCAGGTAACCCTTATTTTACTTCATGATAGACCCACCACGCAAGAGTAGTGATACTGGCAGTTGGCATGTGTCACAGAGAAGCTGTAAAGTGCTTAAGTGAAAAGGTAAAAGTTCTTGACTTAAGGAGGGCAAAAAAATTCCACACTGAGATTACTAAGATCTATGACAAGAATGAGTCTTCTGTCTATGAAATTGTGAGAGAAAAAGAAATTTGTACTAGTTTTGCTATTGCACCTCAAATTACAAATATTATAGCCACATTGCGTGAAGAGTGCATAGTTAAGATAGAAAAGGCATTAAGTTTGTAGAAGACATGAACACAGAACGTGTCCAGTTGATGGCAGTGTGTTGCGCTAGAAAGCATTGAGCCTGTATGAAAACTTCAGCAAGGGATCCTTTGAAATGAGCGACTCCGCTTAGTGCAGGAAGGGATGGTTACACAGAATCAGAAGCAGGTTCGGTCTGAAGAATATAGAAGTTGCTGGAGCAGCTGTATGTAGTAAAAGAAGCTGCTGCTACATTTCTAGCAGGATTGAAGAAGTTGTTGAAGGAGAAAGGATACCACCCAAAGCAAGTCTTTAGTTGAAGTGACACCAGGTTCGTCTGTGTGAACATGCCCAATAAAACCTGCATTCATGGAAGTGCTAAGGAGTCAACAGGGCTCAAATACAGAGGGATGTGCTTGATGAAGTGGAAGAACATGTTGACGGCCCATCAAGAAGTGTTAACAGGGGCTGGGGATTTAGCTCAGTGGTTCCGCCGCTTGCCTTGCAAGCACAAGGACCCGAGTTCGATCCCTGGTACCAAAAAAAAAAAGAAGTGTTAACAAATGAGGAATTGGAAGAACTTGTTGAGTTGTGTACAGAGGAAGAGGAAAATGAAGGAGAAGAAACTGGATCAGAGCCAGCAATACGGATGTCAAAATTTGTTGAAGTGTTTCAAATTACATAGACATTAAAGGACAAAATTATGGAATATGATCCTTGGACAGAATGCATTAAAGTCACGCAGATGATCACCAAGGAGGGTTACAGCCTCTGCCCCATCACTTTGATGAATTAAAGAGATAACAGCTTCCAACTACAATATTCTTCCAAAAGTTTCCCACAAAAAACCCCAAGTATTAAGGATTCCCAACTATCAGTATCATCTGGTCTTGACATCCAGCATCGACATTGTCATTGCTCGATGATCCTCCTTCTAACATACTGTCGAAAGGTCAAGAGTAGCCTAATGTTACATCACCATGCCTATGTCATTCACATCACTTCATCCCATCACATAGGCATTTTATCATCTATTATCACAAGAAGAAAGGGGAGTATAGTATAATTAGTTAGCAAGAGATACCACATTCACATAACTTTATCATGGTGTATTCCTGAAACCTGTTTTCCGTTCATTATGGTTTATAAATGATGGTTTATCATATATATGTGCAGTATAGGAAAGAACATAGTGCACATCGAGTTTGGTACTGTCCACTGTTTCAGGGATTCCTTAAGGGTCTTCACTGGTAAGAGGGGACTGCTGTACTTCCCGCTCATCTCTTGTATCACATAAACTTTTGGGGGGTGGGGGAGTACCGGGGATCAAACTCGGGTCCTTGCACTTGCAAGGCGAGTGGCAGAACCACTGAGCTAAATCCGCAGCATATCACATAAACTTCTATTGGAGGGTTCAGGGGAATATCCCAAGTGTGTACCTTGGGTATGGTTCCTTAGTGTGGCACAGTCTTCAGAAATGGATGGACCCTTGCTAGTCAGTGTGTTCTCATTCTTAACACTGCAGTGAGAGCAGACGGGAACCTCTACATCTGTATTTCTTTGTCCAAAGGCGTTTTCTGGCCCTAAGGACTCACTTTGCTGGAAGTGCCAAGGCATTAATGCCCACTTCCAACTCATACCACTCCTCAACCACTGAAAGATGGGAGTGACGTCTCAACTTCACCTCGTTCCCCATTCAGTTGAAGGGATAACACTGAACTGTGTTTTATACTGGTCCAGAGTTCCCCAAAGGAATTAAGTTGCCCACAGGTGCAACTGCTTTTACAGCACCCTTTATTGGCCATCCTCTCTCCTTTCTTTCCCCATTGTCTGTTAGTATTGCTACCACCCCTTAAATAAATTACTTGGATGTAGGTCATCTTTACATCTTTTGGGAAAACCTAGCTAATACACTATCTTACAGTGTTGGTCTTTGATTTTATCATTCCTCCCTTTGACTTTTTCTGCAGTCTATTGTGAGATGTGTCCCTGGTGTTGGAATCTACTTTGGTACTCTGTACTCTTTGAAGCAGTATTTCCTGCGAGGCCATCCTCCCAGTGCCCTGGAGTCAATCGTATTGGGCATGGGCTCTCGATCTGTTGCAGGGGTCTGCATGTCGCCCATCACAGTGATCAAAACACGCTATGAGGTGGGTTTGCTTGAGTGCTTCAGAATGGGTACTCAGAGCCACTGGTTCTTTGGGTAGTAACCACTGGTGTCAGCTCCTGGCTTATATACTTACTGATTTACAGAGTTTGATATGGTCAGAGGACTTGTGTGAAGGCTCACCAAGCTATGTGGGAACTAGAGCCACAATGTCTTGGGGATGCTGCCTAACCTGAAGTTGTGCTGGGTCACTGCTCCAGTGCAGAGTTTCTCTGTCAGTTACTTAAATCTGCACTCCTTTTGTAGAGTGGGAGTTACGGCTATGAGAGCATCTACAAAGCCCTGAGGAGCATCTATCGCAGCGAGGGCCACCGAGGCCTCTTCAGTGGCCTGACAGCCACCCTCCTTCGTGATGCCCCCTTTTCAGGAATCTACCTGATGTTTTACAGCCAGACCAAAAACATAGTGCTCCACGGTATGGGTAAAGGAAGGTGCGGTGGGAAAGGGGTGTCTCCAAGACATGGGGTTCTCTGTTTTCTCTGGGAGATGAGACTTTATTATATGGGCTGGGTGTTGGGATCTCAAGGTGGAAGTGGCAGACTTAGCTCTTGCCCTTGGAGTTTATATCCTCCTATGCCAAAGAGTACTTGTGCTAATACGATTTTGGGGTGGGGAGTCAGCTGGTTGAAAAATAAAATACTGGGAAAAATAATGAGAAAGAAGGAAAAATGGAAATGAAGTCTATGTAAATAGGGAAGGGTGGAGGGGCTGAAGGGCGCACAGGTAATGGGGAAAAAATAAGAACCAAGATACATCATGTACAGGTACAAGCACCCAGTGATAAATCTAAACATATTGTATACCTAAAATGTACCAATAAAAGAATTTAAGGGAAAAAAGAAGTACTCTTTCGCAGAGGTCCTGCAACAGTATATCCCAAACTTCTCCATAAGATTCCACCTAGTCACCAACAATGTGGCAGTCTGTGTTTTTCAAGAAGCATCTGGTGTGATCCTCATCAGACAAGTTTGGGAAACATGAATGGCTTAGGATTTGTTTGTGTGTTTGTTTCTTGAGACATGGTTTTGCTGTGTAGTTTAGGCTGGCTTTGAACGCACTATATAGTCTAGGTTGGCATTAAACTCTTAGCGAATCTCCTGCCTCAGCCTCCCAAGTGCTGGGATTACAGGCATGTACCATCATCCATGGCTTGGCTTAGGATTTTGAGGGAAACAAAAATATTTTCACCTTCCTTGCCATAATCCCAGTTAAGGTTGTTTGGAATTCTTGTAGACAAAATTTGTGGACAGTAAATATCCATCTAAGTGGAGCCTGCATTTAGTAATGGGGTATCTAGGGAAGCTGGAATACTCTCGTTCAAGACGAGTGGTCAGGTGCAGCCAGGGTGCTGAGGGATTTGCTGCTTCTCCTGTGCACAGTAGGTGTGACATGCAAGTCAGGACCTTTGTTTGTAACAAAAGAATGAAAGTGGCAATAAGGAAGAATGGAAGTGCACGCGCGCGCTTGTGTTTGGTGCTGAGGATTGGACTCAGGCCCTCACCCCTGTGCTGTATTACTGAGCTATATTCCCTACCCCTGGAAGTGTATTTTTAATTGTCAATTTTCTTTATTTGATATTTGGAAATAATTTCAAGCTTACAAAAAGCCCCCAAAACAGCACAGTATGTAAGTTTTTCTGGGAGTAAGTTGTAGACATGATGCCCCTTTACCATTAAACACCTCAGGGCATGTTTCCTAAGAACAAGGACAGTCTCTTATACCTTATTAAATTTAGGAAGTATAACTTAGATACGGTATTTTATGTTCATTTCTCTAATTGTCCCAATAATGTATTTTGTGACCATTTTTCTTCATTTCTAAGAACATGGGCAATTAGTTACACCTGAATCTAGGTTTATGTGATGTATTTAAGGTGATTAGATTTGGTCACACATTTTTAGCAAGTAGACCACATATCTGGTGCTGTGTTTATATCAGACTCCTGATAACTGTGTTCGTCCTGTTGTGGATAACTTCTCGTCACTTGGATCTGTTAGTGTCTGCCAGGTGTTTCTCCTGAAAACTCAGTAAGTTTTTCTTTTGTAACTTCCTAGAATCTTTATGGGAAGATAACTTTGAATCTTGTTTCTTTTACCTATATGTTCTAGCATCTTAATGAATTGTGATTGTGGTTTTTTAAAAGGATGCTTTTCTACCTCTATTATTCCATTCCACATATATTAGTTGAATCTTTAAAAATTTTAATTCTTCATTTGAATCTATATCTTTCTGACTTTTGGGAAGAATGGATGGGCAACTTGCATTGACCTTTCTCTGGTGAATGTGAGATTTCTAACTGCAGGTTATATTTGTTCTATTTTCAGACCAGTCTGATGTAGCCTTCATTCCTGTTGTGAATTTTAGCTGTGGGATATTTGCTGGTATATTGGCCTCATTGGTAACTCAACCTGCAGATGTTATCAAAACTCATATGCAGCTCTCACCAGTGAAGTTTCAGTGGATTGGCCAAGCAGTAACACTCATTTTCAAGGTAAGATTGTAGCGTTAAGTACTGGTTCTTGTGGTTAAGGAGCTTATTCTAGAGCAGTTTTTGTCTGTCGCTCATAGTAGAATCATTTGGGAGCTTCTAAAAATGTCCATTTCCAGATAAAAATCCAGGATGGTTGGGGAACCCAGTATCAGTAGTTTTCTCAGGGGCTAATGGTGTGTGTAGTGCACTGGTAGTACGTGTGCTTATTATGTGGGAGGCCCAGGGTTCAATCCCTACACCAAAAAAGGAAAAAAAATGTTTCTTTTAAAGATCCTCCGTCATCCCAATGTGTTGCCAAGATTATGAATCACAAAACCTAGGTTTTTCTAAGAGAAGAGGCAGCTACGTCAGGACTGCCGGAGCATCATTATGCAGATTGCTTGATTCTACTGAATCAGAAAATCTGGGTGGCTCTAAAACTAATTAAGGATCTAAGACAAAATATAATCAGAAAAAAAACACACACTTTATTTTGTTGTAGCACTTTTCTGTAGTACAAGTGGGCAATTGGTGTCATTGCAGCTAAGAAGTTCTAGATCTAAGGGGCACTGGGGCACTGTCTAATAGTGCACTATTTAAAAAGTAGTGCTTTTAAACCCAAGAGGGCATCGGCCCTTTCGGAACTTAGCACTATTATCACAGACCAGATAGACTTGTTCAAAGTAAGTGTGAATTTGCGAATATAATATTCTTTACACTAATTAAGTTATCTGCCTTCTTATTCTGTGTATGGTGTTTTTTCTTTTTCCTTTTTTTTTTCCCACAGTACTGGAGATCGAACTCAGGACCTTACACTTGAGAGACAGGCACGGTGCCACTGAGCTAAATCCCTAGCCCTGCTTTCTTATTCTGTATCCCTAAAATCATAAAAGTTTTATTGTAATATAGTCTTCAGTGTATGTGAAGTTGCAGATCACTCCAGATTATGAGGGAGGAAGAAATGTTTTGCCTTTCTTAGAAAACGGGCCAGAGCCAGGCATGGTGTCACTTACTTGTAATCCCAGCACATGGGAGACTGAGGAAGAGGATCACTGGGAGTTCAAGGCCAGCCTTGAATTCAAGCCCAGCCTGGACTACATAGCGAGACCCTGTCTCAAAAAACAAAAAAAAAGGGTAGGGCCACTAAGAGAACATATAGTGAATTCCAAAAAATATGCTCTCTCCTGATAGACAAATGACAAGACAGCACCTTTTCCTTCAGTCTTTGTCATCTCTCCCCTAGATAGCTTTTTAGCTAAGAAATTCCCCTAGATAGAGCAGGGCTAAAAATGTAGAGACTAGCACCAGCACAAAAAGACTGGTTTTAAATTTACTGCTTATCTTCTGGGGCTCATTTGCCATAGATCTGGCATAAAGTTTGAGACAAAAAAATGGAGCAATACAGAGACACTCTAGTGTCAATAATTGTATTGCTACTTTGCTTCTGGAGTTTGACATTTATTTTTTTCATAGGACTATGGGCTGCGTGGCTTCTTCCAAGGCAGCGTTCCCCGGGCCCTCCGTAGAGCTCTGATGGCAGCAATGGCATGGACAGTCTATGAAGAGATGATGACAAAGATGGGCCTAAAGTCCTGACAGGAAAGAACGGGAAAGAGTGTACTGTCATCCCGCTTATTTGCTGCCAAGTGCTGCTTTATGGCACTCTGCAGTCAGGTGAAGTCTTGCCTGGAGAGCCAGGCAGAAACACTGTTGCTTCAGCCTCAATTCAGGGAGGCAGAGGGTCTGACTGGAGCCCTCAGTCTCCCAGAAGAGGAGTCACCAGTACACATAGGCCTCTGGGGAGTTGGGACAGAGGTCAGCACACCCCACTGGACTACTGGCAAGGCATTTTCAGAGAGAGCTTTGCCAGGTGGCCTCACCTACACTAAAGGCTCCTTCAGGATGTGCTTGTGCAAGGAGTCAAGGTCCAGAGAAACTGGGCCTCCTGCTGCGTCTGAGGAACTGGCCTGGGGAAGACAGGATCTGGGTAGCATTCACGGTCAGCAGCCTGAAGATTGTGTCTGAGGTGCTTTCCTGAAGAGGAACAGTAGTCATTAGGGTTAGGGTTAGAGAATGGAGGCAGTGACTTACTTGCGTCCAAATGTACAAAGAAAATTGTTTGATCTTGGCCCCAGCACTATGTCAAATCTAAGCTATTCTGGCATTTTCTGTGACTAAAGTTCAGGTAAATAAAGTAAAGCCCTTTATTAATGAAAGCTGTTTGGAAATCCTAAGTAGTGTATTCTGTCAGTCTGTTTGAAAATAACAAAATAGTTCTAAGGTGACTGACTCTAAAACCAGAAAGTTATTTTAAAAAAACAACAACTTTATTTTACATATTCTCTGGTTCATCCATTTCAGGTGTACAATTCAGTGAGTTTTAGTATCTTTACTGATGATGTAACCATCACCGTAAGTCAGCTTTAGAACATATTCATCCCCAGGATGTTCTCTCCCTCCCTATTCATAATGACTCCTCATCCCCCAGCCCACTACTCATCTGTCTATAAATTTTGCTTTTCTGGACACTTACATAGTGGAGTCATACAATTTGTAGTCTTTTGCTTTCCAGCGAACATGTTTCTGAGGTTCACTTAGGAGGTGGCATTTTCAATATTTTGTTTCTTATGGCCAAATATTTTATTGTATGCAAGTACAGTTATACCTCAGTATCCAGAGGCACAAAAATCCAAGGATGTTCAAGTCCCTTACGCAAAAAGGTATTTACATAGAACCTATACAATTCTATATACTTCAAATAATTTCTGTTATTTTTAATACCTAATACAATATAAATGCTATATACAGTTGTACACTGTATTGAGGAATAATGACAAGGAAAAAAGTTCACTATACACATGTGGGCCCTGAACTATACTATATTCATTAATCACTTAATGGATTGTTTCCACTTTGACAGTATCATAAATAATGACACCATGAATATTTGTGTACCAGCCTGTGGTCGTATGCTTGAGTATACTCAGTGTGATTGAAAAATATGGTGAATGTGTGAAAAAATGTATTGCTGTAAAAGCATTGCCATTCACGCCCCCTGAAAATACTCCACCTTGGTTTGAACACACTTACCCCATCCATTCTTGCTACTTTCTGAAGCAGCTCTGGAAGTCCTCTTTCATGAACTTCTTTAGTCTGCATTGTCGTGGCTGCCTCGGTGTTCTGAATTGATTGAAAATGTTTACCTTTTATGGTCATTTTAACTTTGGGGAAGAGCCAGAAGTGGAGTGAGGATACAATGTAGTGTCTCTTGAGCCTGCTTTTCCTTTGGGACTCAGCAGCAGTGTTGAGCACACTTTTGATCACACATTTTAAAGACACAAAAGAGAATTGAAAGGGCCAGGGATTTAGCTCAGTGGCGCCAAGCCTGCCTTGCAAGCGCAAGGTCCTGAGTTTGATCCCCAGTACTGAGGGGAAAAAAACCCAGAAACTTCCAGAGCTGCTTCAGAAAGTGGCAAGAATGACAGGATGCTTTTGAAGTGAATCAATAGCAGTGTTTTACTGTAGTACATTTTAAAAATTTAAATACCATATATTTTTATCACACTGTATGTAAAACTGGAAAAGGTGGGTTATGTGGAGATTCTGTGTTTTAATACTTTGAGAAAGTACTCCAGAATGGCTACATGTACCATTTTACATTCCTGGCAGCAGTGTGGTGGTTCCAGTTTCTCCACATCCCCTTCAACACTTGTTGCTAATAACCTGTCTGCTGGGTACCCAAGGATTTTCTTTCAACTTTGGGAGAGCCATTACTTTATACAGGGAGTAGGAGGGGCAGGGGAGGGGAGATCTTGTGGTTAAGAGCATGGGCTCTGATTTATGTGGCTGTCTTAAATTACTTTCTGGTAGCTGACACAAAACACCTAATGCCCAGAAGTTAAAGGAGGAAAGGTGTATTCAGCTCACAGTTTGTAGAGGTTTTAGTCCATAAAGACTCCAGTTACTAGATTAGGGCTCACCCTAATTTAGGATGACCTCATTTTACATGTGCAAACTGGGCAGCCTGGTACACACCCATAATCCCAGCACTTTGGGAGGCTGAGGTAGGAAGACCACAAGTTCAAACCCAGCAATTCAGTGGGCTGGCTGAGATCTTGTCTAAAAAAATACTGAAAAAGGCCAGGGATGTAGGTCAGTGCAAGCCCTTGATTCCATCCCCAGTACAAAAAAACCAAAAAAACCCCCCAAATTACATATGCAAATATTTCTGAAGTCACATTCAGACACTACATAGGATGGGGGCACAATTCAGCTAATACATGTACTAAATTTACCTCATGATTTTTAAGTTTACAGAAAGTTATACCATAGATTTTAGATTTAAATACCTTATTCAGAATAATCGGGTTAGGGGTGTGGAAGCAGACAGAGTAGGGTCTTAATCCCAGTGGCACCCAAGCCGCCAGTGGGTTGACCTTGTGAGCCTTCACACTGGAGGGAGCAATAAGGAAGGCAGGTTGAGTGGAGCTGCTGCCTCCTAAAGACTCTGAAGTAGGGGCTGGGGATTTAGCTCAGTGGTTCCGCTGCCTGCTTCGAAAGCACAAGGTCCTGAGTTCAATCCTCAGTACCGGGGGGAAAAAAAAAAAAAGACTCTGAAGTAGGTGGCTCCATGTCGTTTTCAAGGCTTTTCTAGTCTCTTGACCCTCATCTGAAGGCCAGGGAACCTGAAACCACGGAGGTGCCCTGGCAGAGCAGGGTAGACACGCAGATCTGCCCTCTGCACTGGGCTGGGGAATTTCAGTCACAAGTCCTCTCAAGACTTCATTTGTTGGGGGAAGAGGGTGACAAATTCACCTAGGAAAAATCGTCTAATTTTCTCTGAAGATGAGACTGAAACTTGCCTTTGTGAACAATGATTCCAGTGACAAACGCCCCTAGCACATATCCCAGGCTGCAAGAACTTATTTTTCCTTTTTCAGTATTTTTCGTGGTATTGTTATACTGCCCTATAGGTATTGCGCTTGCCACTGGAGCGCCCTCGTGGTATTGTTACAGCGTAGTTCAAAGAATTGCACTAGACAAGCCAAAAACGTTGCCAAAAGTTTATTTGAAAAGTGCAGGGTAAATGAGTATAGGAGAAACCAGTTCTGCAGAGCGAAATTGGGCTGAACAGAGAGAAAAGGTAAAAACTAAAAAGTGCACTGGAGCGGGGGCTGGTACACACTTCCTCGGAGAAAGGCTTCGCAGGCTACCTGAGGAACTCACCCAGGATTGCGGCTTCTATGCTGTCCACATCTGGTGGGAGCTCCTGTCCTCGAGTTGCCCTGGGGTCTTGTCCCTGCCAGCTATCTCCTGAATCAGTATAAAGGTCAGAAATGAATGCGCCAGTGAACTTTCTTCAGCTGGCTTTGAACATGCTGCCCACTGCCCTGCACTGTTTGAATTTACAACCAACCCGTGTTCCTCATTAAAAAAATACTAAAAGAGGCTGGAGATTTAGCTCAGTGGCACAGCGCCTGCCTCCAAAGTGCAAGGTCCCGAGTTCGATACCCGGTACCCCCACAAAAAACAACTAAAAAACCATCCTCCAAAAGCCACCCACTCTTAGATGAGTGGTTCTCAGCTTGGCTGCACATTAATTAGGATTATGTGGGAGCTATTTGTAAAAACTTTCATTTGGGGCACGGCCTGTTAAAGAAGTCCAAGCAATTCTTAAGGCAGCCAAGGTTGACATACCACTACTGTGTAGTTATTAATAATCCGGTTACTTACTTAGCTTTTAATACTGAGCTCCAAAACTTTTTCATAATGGCCCTCATTCTGTAATTTTTTGCATCATAAAATCTTAATTATTTTTAAATAGCTGTTACTGTACTGGGCAGAATAGATTTTTATTAACATCCTACTGGCGGATATTGCAATCTTTTTCATTGTAAAAAAATTTTTTATATTATCTGTAGGCTTTTTTATTTTCAGAAAAACTTTCTGTAGGAAAGCATTAAAAATACGAATTTCGGGCCGGGGATTTAGCTCAGTGGTTCCGCCGCTTGCCTCGAAAGCACAAGGACATGAGTTCGATCCCCGGTACCAAAAAAAAAAAAAAAAAAATCAATTTCGTGTCCCAAGCCGTTCTCCAAATAACGAAAGCCAGCGCTCCGGGTTAACATTCAGGCTGGGGCCGGGGATTTAGCTCAGTGGTTCCACCACCTGCCTCGCAAGCTAAGGACCGGAGTTCAATCCCTGGTACCGAAAGAAACAAAACAAAACAAAAAATTCAGGCTGGCCGGCTGCACACCAGGCAGCGCTCAGTGCAGGGACAGCGGCGGCATTGCTCTAGGGGCTGCCCAGGTGCTGGAGACTGAATCCAGCGCCTCAGGCGATGGGGTGGGGGGGCCGCCGACAGATCTACCAGCGAGATTGGGCCGCAGCCCCCACGCGAAGTCAGCGAGGCAGCCGACTAAGCAGCCCCGCCCCGGTATGCGCCTGGGCCCGCCCTCCGGAGAGGAAGCCCCGCCTCGGAACGCACTCTGGCCACGCCCTTCTTCCGCCCAGATTGCTCTATCATTGGCCAGAGGTGGACTATATAATGACATCATTTCCGACGGCCTGGCCTTTCCGCGCTACCCAGGCTGGGGTCCATACGGCGTTGTTCGTGGTGAGTCGTCTGTGGGCCTCCCAGCGCCGCCTAAGGCCGCCGGGAAGGAAGAGCTTCCTGGGCGAAAGGGACGCGAAGTCGGGAACCACGCCGAGCGGGCCGGGAGCGCTCTTGGGCGCGGCGCGTTTTGCCAGCGGCCGGCACGGGGCCGGGCACGGACAGGCGCGGTGGAGCGGGCAGACCTCGCACCCGTGAGCCACGCTGCTGACGGTCGGGCCGGGGCACTCGTTTTCACCGGCTTCCTGACTGAGGCTTAGTTTACGAGCGAGGCAGTTCTAGGGGAAGGGCCTGAGTTAAGGTTGCGTGATCGGCCGTATTGATGGGAACTGAAACAAGAACGAAGAGTGAACTAGGACTTTGCCCCAAGGATGAATTTCAAGGAGTATGGGATGCAGCACCCTCGCTGCCAAAAGGGAGTTGCAGCCACTCCGTATTAAGCGCCTGCAAATTAACCAGTTTTCTGCTAAAATCCGTTTCCAGAAACCTTGTTGAAGAACCGGGTCAGAGAGCCTGAGTTCCAGGTGGTCATTTTAAATACACATAGCCACGTGTGACAGGTGGCCACTAAAGGACTCAACAGCATATTCTGCTTGTGTATGATGATTATCTGGATTGAGG